CTCCTCCTCCTCCTCTTCTTCCTGCTCCTGCTCTTCTTCTTCCTGCTCCTGCTCTTGCTCTTCCTCCTCCTCCTCTTCTTTTTAGGAAGGCCTGCTGGGTGAGGAAGACCTGCCCCGGGGCTGGTTGGCGGTGTTCGCTTCAGCCCACTCGACGTTATAGTCCACACAGCCGCATATCCACCTGCTCACACGCATGCACACAGCAGGGTGCTGCACCACAGCCCTGTGTGTGTGCGTGTGTGCACGCACGTGTGTGCACGTGTACTGTTATTCCGGGATGAGGGAGCCGGTGCCTGATCTGGGAAGGAGAGCTGAGATCCCCATTTTTTTTTTTTTTTTTTTTGGTCTTGTTTTCTTGTATTTCCAAAACATTTTTACGCAGAAACCTTTAAGATAGTTTTTTCAGTGCATCCATAAGGCAGTTTTTCCTGCACATATTTAATAACAAACGTCAGTCTCCCTTGTATGTGATTCAGTCAACTTCGGATTCTTTGGCTAACCAGTTTTCCAGCCTGGGTGGGTGCCTTTCTTTGGGGGGGGCCTCAGAGTTCCTGTCTGTGAAATGGGAGGGAAGTCACCCGGCTGTTCCTGAGGCCCCTGCCCAGCGAGCGTGAGCTTTCCTAGCAGAGCCTAAAAACAGCGTGTGCTGCTACTGCCATCTAGCAGTCCAGCGGCGCCAGCGTGTGAACGCGGCGCTTCGGGGGTGTTGAAAGAGGCCGGATGCTAACGAAAACACAAAGGCGCCGGGCGGGCAGACGGTCCACAGCCCCCGAGGGCTTTCGGAGCTAGGGAGGACAAATACGCAAACAAGTCCTTCCACATTCAAGACGCAGCCCTGAGCCTGTGGTCTCTGTTGGACGCGGCAAAGCCATCGCTGCCATTCAGGGTGCCGGGCGCTTTGGCGAGGTCCCGGGTTACTCCGCACGGCAGGCGTTTGTGGCGCCGCTTCCGTGCACAGCGCCATGCAAAGGTACGTGGGTAGGGAGTCTCAGGCGGCGCAGGCTCCGGCCCTCCGAGGGCGAGGCTGTGGCGCTGTGCGGAAGCTCATCAGTTCTGGCGTTCAGTGAATGCATCGCAGCCCCGACAAGCCTCGCCCCTGAGCGTGAGGGTCGGGGGACGGCGCAAGGGCGGCGCCCCAGGCCTCCGTGCCTGGAAAGGGCCTTCCGAAGGGCCGCGGCGGGGACCTGCGGCTTGCGGCCCCTCGACCACTTCCCCCGCATGACGGCGGTGTGTTCCAGATGCCCCGCCTTGACCTCTCCACCTGAGAGCTCCTGAGAGCTTGCCACACACCCTGCCCTCACCGGGCTGCCTAAGAGGGAATCTGGGCCCGAGGCAGACCCCGCGCAGGTGCATGCAGGGCTCAGCTCCGCCGCCTCGCCGCACCCTGTCCGTCCCGGGCCCACACTCAGCAAACCGGCCGTGCTCCTGGTTCTGGCCTCACTCCCGCGGCCGTCTGTGCAGACCGAAGGAACTGAACCAACGGCTGAAATCCAGCTCCTGCCCGGGGACGGCGTGGTCGGCCCAAGTGCTGTCCAGAAACCACGGGACGCTGCCACCTGTTGGTGATGCATTACCTTACTTTAAATTTTAAGCACAACTGGAGTTCAGCATTTAATTGAATTTACACGCTTTAGCAGTAACACTCATTACATCCTCCAGGCCGGAGGTGCTTTCTCCAAAGGAACAATCCCAGGAGGTGCTGAAGCTTGCTCCTTCCAGTTCTGGTCTCCACCCCAGCTGCCTGGTCCTTTGATTGGCCCCTGTCTTCACAGGAAAAACCGGCAGTCCCTGCGGCAGGGACCTGCCCTGGATCACCTGTGGAAGTGGCAGGGACGGAGCTCAAACCCGGTCCCTGTCACGCTCCCAGCGCAGAGCGTCCTACGCTAATGTTCTTTTCCAGTTTGAAAACACCGAACACCTTTATGGCTTTCCTCACCCTAAGGTGCGGCAGTGCTAACATCTGTGCATCCTCACCCCGTGTCTTTAATGCTTGCGCTGTCTGCACATTTGTGCTCTTACGTATAGCACAACTATAATTTTTGGTCAACACCAAAAAGACTCTCTTTTTGTATTCATTCATGTGTACGATCACTCGTGTCTCCAATTAAATTTAGCAAATGCTTCTTCTATGCCGCGCAGAGATATAACAGCGGAGGGCGGGGCATCCACGGCACCCTCATGAAACGAACAGTCTAGGGGAAGAAAGGAGCAACTAATCACAATAAGAAAAATACATTTTTATTTGTTATTCCCAAGGAAAACTTGTTCCGGGAAAACAGGTAACAAGAGAAGCTAGTCTACACTGGGGACCGCAAAGGCTTGGCTCAGAAAGAAGTGGCTCGTTCAGGCGATCGTCCGCAGCGCCCCAGGGCTTGGCCGGCGCCCACGCCCAACCCCCGCTCTCTGGTCCTCACCCTGAGATTCTGCCTCGATCAGTGTGGGTGGCGCCTGGGTCTCGGAGTTTTTAGGAAGCTCTGTGTGTCCACCCGTGCCGACAGCAACGCTGCTGCACCTGGCATCGCCGAGGCCTTGAAACGGTCGCTTCCTTCCTGCCCTCTGCTTGGTGCTCGGCTCTGAGCGCTGGGCCGCTCCCTGATGCTCCTGTTTCCTTTTCCCGCAAGGTCTCCTCTCTTTTCCCGGACTCTGTGCTGGAGGCGGTGCCCGTGGTTCCATCGCCTGCTCCGCTATTCTGACTGCTTCTTCAGCATCACACGCAGCTGAGCGCTTCAGTCCCTTCCTGCTCCCTGTTCCGTTCCCCAAGCTCACATTCCTACTGTACCTTCCCGCTGCACATGGATGCCTTCCCACCCAATACGGCCTCCAGAGTTGTTGCTTTTCCTCCAAAACATTGTCATCATAGTTTCCCAACCCTGCTGTAGTGAATGACTATAAACTCAGTGACCCAAAAAGGCACAACTTTATTCTTTTAGGGTTTCAGAGGTCAGATGCCTAAAATTGGCCTCACTGAGTTACACTGAAGGTGTCTACAGGCTGCGCTCCTTCCAGAGGCTCTGGGGAAGAGTTTGTCCCCTTGCCTTCTCCAGCGCAGAGAGGCGATTGCATTCCTTGGCTCCTGGCCCCTTCACAGCGAAGACAGCAGCAAGCAGTCCCCCTCCCCTCTGATGAAAGGGGCCTGTGACCACATCCGGTGTGTGGGGACCCAGTGAGCATCTTCACCACCCCAGCCAGGGGCAGAACGCGCTCACCACTTCCCCAGTTCGGATGCGGCTGCACTTGGGCCATCACCGTCTTCCCCAGTCACCTCCCAACTTCGCTGCTCTCCTGCTAGGGCTGCCTGTCTCCGTCTCTCACCGCACAGCTCGAGCGGCTCCTCACTGTCTCCTCGGGTGTCCCCTCCCCTAGTCTGTCCCTCAATGTGCTCCGCTGCCAGTCGCCGGAGAGCCCCTCAGGCGGTGCTGGTAGCTTGGCGAGAGCTTTCTGCCTCTCCCTGGGGGAGCTCTTCAGTAATTTTTTGGAAATAAATTTCTTTTACCAGCACCTTCCCTTTGCTTTCTTCTCTAATTCCATCTTCTCATCTTCCCAGGGAGAACCACGACCTTGAACCTCGTGTGACCTCGTGAGCGCATGGGGTTGTCGGTCTCCAACGTACGCAGACATCTGCAGCACTGGGGTTTGAATGCGTCCCCAAAGCTCATGTGCTGGAAGTGGGGTCCCCGGTGCAATAGTACTGGGAAGTGGGGTCTAGCAGGAGGCAGTGAGGCCATGTAGGCTGGGCCCCTGGGAGGGGCGGTCATCAGAGTGGCTCGGGCAGCAGCGGAGCGGGCCGCGAGATAACCAAGCCTGGCCACCTCTGACACGCTCTCCCAGCTGACGGTGCTTACCAGATGTGCCTGGGCTTCCAACCTGGATTTCCCCGCCTCCAGGCCGTAAGAGAGAGATTAATTCCTGATGAGCTACCCAGCTTGGTGGGATGTGGTGGTGCACACCAGTAACCCCAGCACTCAGGAGGCTGAGACAGGAGGATTGCTGTCACTTCAATGCCAGCCTGAACTACATAGTGAGACCTGTTTCCAGAAAAATTTTTTTAATAAATAAGTAAATAAAAATTATATAGCCCGTGGTATTCAGTTATAACAATACAAAACAGACGAAGACTCATAGCAACATAAGGAATATTTTGAGACTATTTAAAACGTTAATATAAAAGATACCCCACTGTTTATAACTTTCTGAAAACTCCTTTTTTCACTCGATTGTGTTTCTGAGATCTCTGCTTACATGTACATACAGAATTGTCCATTCTTTTAACTGCTCTCCAGAAGCGATAGAGTGTGCTGCGTTTCCGTTTTCAAATTTTACATTGTTTTTGGGTGGGAGAATTACTTACATGGTCAGGAGCAGAAGTTGTGGAAAATAGCTCATACTGAAGCCTTGTGGCAGCTGTACCCTATCTACCTTCTCTCGGCCGCACAATTTATAAATGAGTTTCTTGTAGACCACTGCAACATTTAATTAAACAAGGGCAAGTGCATACAGTATTCTTATTTTCAAGTCTTCCATCTTGTAAAATGAGCACATTCTGTTCGACCTTTTGGGTTGCTCTTTTTCGCTTAGCAGTGCGTCACTGAGCCATGGTGAAGTTGTGGCTTCTCAGTTTTTTTGTGGGGGGGTTGTCTTTTTTTGAGACAGGGTCTCACTATTCAGTTCAGGCTGGCCTCGAACTCACAGGGATCCTCCTGCCTCAGCCTCCTGAGTGCTGGGATTACAGGTGTGCACCACCGTGCCCAGCTGGCTTCTCAGTTTTGCGGGAGGTGTTTTATGAAGGAAAATGAAGGCCCATACCTTGATGCATCTGCCTTCTTCCTTCTTTCTTTGCCTCTTTCTTTCTTCTGGGACTCTGTGCTGTGTCCATTTTGCATGGTGCTGTTCTGTTTTCCTTAACTTCCAGCAGTCTTTTACATAGTAAGTTGGTCGGTCGAGAGATGAGCCACTCTTGTCTGTAATAAATAAGCAGTTTCCAATAGTCTTTCCACGGTACCATCTGTCTTTGATTATAGTTTCTTTTACTTGAAGAGGTTTTTAGACTGTTACATGGTCTAATGTATCACTTTTAAAATGGCACCAGAAATTTGAGTCATAGTTAGAGATTCCCTAGCCCAAGGCCATGAAAATTTTATCCATGTTTTTCTCTAGCACTTTGTGAAGGAAGAATCAGACTTTTCCCCCAAAATGGCTATGCACTTGTGCAAAACCACTATAATCAGCAGTTTGACTCTCCCGAATGGAGATGCCAGCTTTACCATATAGAAAATGCCATCCACATTTGGGTTTTGTTTGGGATTTTCCATTATATTCCATTGGTCTGTTGTTTATTAATGCAGACTTTTAATTATTGATACTTCATAGCATGTTTAATATCTGATAGGAGTAATTTCTTCTCATTCCTTTCCAGAGTTTTCTTGGCTACTTTTGCTTATTTACTTTTTTATATTAACTGTACATCAGTATTTTTTAAATGGTTGGTATTTTATTGGGGTCAAATTAAATGAATACATGACGTTACTGTTACATTCAAATGTAACAAATTGTCTTATCTTTACACTGGGTATGGTGGTGCACACCTATAATCCCAGCACTTGGGAGGTTGAGGCAGGAGGGTTGTCGTGAGTTCAAGGCCAGCCTCAGCTACATAGTGAGTTCAGGATCAGCCTGAACTGCATAGTGAGACCCTGTCTCAAAAAAACAAAACAAAATAGAACAAATTTGTCTTGTCTTTGCTAGTAAGAATCACTTTAAGTGGGACTCGAGTTCTTTTTATATTAAAAAATTGATTAAAAAATATTTCAAGGGCCGGGAATACAGTTCAGCAGCATTAGTGCCTGCCTGACAAGAGCAAGGTCCTGAGTTTGATTCCCAATACCACAAAAAATAAAAAAATAAAAATAAAAAAACACTTCAAATACTTCCTATCTTTACACTGGGTATGGTGGTGCACACCTATAATCTGAGCACTTGGGAGGTTGAGGCAGGAGGGTTGTCGTGGGTGGAAGATACATAAAAAGTGGAGGATTGAACAAGTCCTCCCATCAATATATGCCCCAGTTTTAAATTTTATCAATAAATGTCCAATTTTGTATCATCCATGCCTGCACCTATAAAGCCTCTGCAGATCAGGCAAATCTCACACTACAAGACTTGATTCATAAATATTACAGTGGGCACTAAATTACGAGCATTCTTTTATTTAAAAAAAATAGCCACAACATCACTGTCTCAACTACAAAATTAACAAAAGTTCCTCAGCATTGTTCAATCTCAAGTCCATGTCCACGCTTCCCTTGGCTGCCAGGCGTGGTGGCACAAGCCTGGAGTCCCAGCTACTCGGGAGGCTGAGGTGGGAGGATCGCTTGAGTCCAGGAGTTCCGGGCTGCAGTGCGCTATGCACTAAGTTCGGCGTCAATATGGTGACCTCGTGGGAGTGCGGGTTCACCAGGTTGCCTAAGGAGGGGTGAACAAGCCCAGGTCAGAAATGGAGCAGGCCACATTTCCCTTGGTTGCCTAAACATTTTTTAAGGACAGCTTGCTCAACATGGGACACAATCAAGGTCTGGCCGATGTAGTGGGAACCTAACTGGGACCCAAACTCAGTTTCTCCTGTCTTCTGACACCAGGTTGCGGGAGTTTCTCTCCTCCCGAAAACAAGTGATGGATTCCGCAAGGCACTCTCAGTGTCCTCAAATTCGATTGCATCCTGACACTGTCTTCCTAGAGACCATGCCGACCCCACACAGTGAGGGTTCAGTCCCCAGGTGTAGATGCCAACCACAGCCCAGGTTATTTTACCTGTACTTCTGACCCACTGGCTGCCAGCTGGGGTTCCCATGGCCTTCTCCCTGGAGCAGCTCATGGAAATCAGGGAAACACACTTTGAGTTTAAGATAGAGAACACCTTAAAGGATACTAATTGATGGAGACCACTACGAAGCAGACCTGAGCAGGACTTAAACTAATCAATTGGCTTTTCATGTTCACTTGTGAATCTGTCCAAGACCCAGGCTCCTTATCTGGAAATGGTGGACTCATAGGAAGTGAACCTGTGAGTCACTGATCCCTGCTGAAACCTGTAGTGGTGGATGAAGCCAGAAAGCCTCAAAGGACAAGGCAAGATCACAGCCAAGACACCTGGATCAGATCTCAACTGGATAGAGACTACAGCCTCAGGCATCTCATTCTTCAGTGGATTAACTTAATACCTTACTTGGAGAAGTCCTTGAGTGGTTCTGCCCTTCTGGAGTACTCTCTTCTCTTCTTCTGATAACCAAATATGGCTGATCCAGAGAAGGTCTTGGTCTTAGCCCTGACAGAATTAAGAATTATGTGAGAGAGCTTTGATCCTCCTGGAGCCCTGAAGTCATTCCATTTTTATTCAGCCTTCACTGTACACTCATTCAGGAGATTGACGACCTGATCAGCCCGCAATAACTAAAGGATATTATTAATGCCATAACTGGTGCCTGGACAGGGACATATAGTTCTGCTCTGAGGTTTGCTTAAATGCTCGGGGGCTCATGTGCCCAAAAAAGACCTAACAAAAATGTTACAAGAGGTAACCAAATATAATTCATGGTTTCCTCAGCCAGGAACTGTCGATTATTGATGACTGAGAAAGAGGTGGAAAACAGTCTTAGAAAGGCACACAGTATGGGAAAAATCATTTCCCCAGAGACAGTCTCAACTTGGAACCTAGTTCGTTCAGTTTTAAGTCAGTGGCAGAGCTTGGCGTCAGTAGACTCTGACTCAGATGCAGAGGAAACAAAAGAGCCCCCAGTAGAGAAACTTAGGGCAGAGCAGGAGCCTTTCAAGAGGACACCCCATATGGCTCTATTTAGAAACTTACAGATTTTATAGGAACAAGCAGCCGCAAAAGGAGAAATCATTGTCACCCCTTCTTGCTTCCCAGTTGGAACTCAGCAAAATGGTCATAATGAGGAGATTGTTTCTTATTTGCCTTTTGAAATCCAGACACTAAAAAATCTTAAAGTGTTGTCACTAATAAGACAACCATGAGGGCTCAAGTTATGGCTGGCTTTAATAATACAGGAAGGAGTAATCTAAAATGTTTTAATGGTAGAAAAATGGAACATATTAGAAAAAATCGTAGAGTTCTTGCTGGAGCTAATGGGACAGTCATTGTGACCGCAGCAGGTCTAGGGAACAATGCCTCTGACATGGAGGGCTTGGGTCCCACGCCTGGACTCTGTCCGAGATGCAAAAATGGGACACGTTGGATCAGACGCTGTCATTCTAAAATCCATAAGGATGGTACATCCTTGCCAAAAAGGAGATAAGGGCCTTTCCTCAGGCCAGCCAAACAATAGAAGAAATATAACTTGTGAGTCAGAATATCGGTCAGCTTTGTCCAGTGCAAAAATACAGCAGATTCTACAATCTCAAAGGTGGCACCCAGAGGGATATAAACTCCCTCACCAGGGCAACAATACAAAGCACAGGATTAGATCTTCCTGCAGCTTGTAGAG